AAGAAAGAGAAATATATAGAATAACGAAAGGTAAAAAGTCCAGAGGCAAAAAGTAGTTAAAACGGGATAATTTAAGTTAGAAAAGCTGGTTAGAAACAAGCCAAGCCAAGGCCGGGCATTCATCAGAAACAATAAGCCTCCGTGTATTTATTTGGGAGCTGGATGGCGGGCCTCCAAAGGGTCAGTAAGAAAAAACCAACCAACCAACAGCAGTGGTGCTCTCAGTTGACCTTGCAGCAACTTAGTTAGCAACTTGCAGTGGACTTTGTCAAGGCCACCGGAATCCAAGGAGGAGCGTGAGAGAGAGGAACGGGTACTTTCGGTACTTTCATGGTGAGAATTAGTAAGAGGAGATGCGAGGAATCCGCTTTCCTTACATAAGATGCTCTGACACCTGATGCTGCCAATCTGAAAGAAGTATGTTCTAGACACTGAGGGAGGCTTCAGAGAGACAGGAGTGACTGAGTCAAGGACATCACGGGATTATAAAATGGTAAATTTTCCTTATTTCTTAAACCACATTTCAGTGGACATTGTGAGTTACAACCTAGAGGCAACAAATATTACTGAGTTTGAAATTAAACTTATGGGGCGGTGAGTAAGATACTAGCAAACAGGAAGTGCCTGATAAGTTATTGTTATCTTCATTGATATTTTCCGGGCATGATTTTTTTAGTTTGTAGCTTTTGGTCATTAGTAAGATATGGAGGTTTTCTTTCTTTTTAAAGCAATTGTTTCTCAGGCTGGAGAGATGGCTGAGCAGTTCTTGCAATGGGCCAAAATTGGGAACCCAGGACCCAGCCACATCAGGAGACTCACAAATGCCTGTAACTTTAGCTCCGAAGCCTTCCACTGGCTTCTCTGGGCACCAGCACATAGGTGGCAAACATATACATGTAAGTAAAAATAAGTTACAAATAAAATAATCACTTTTAAATTTACCAAATCAAATCACTTAAGTACAGTTATGGCCCATACATTGTAAAAAGGAATCGTTAGGGTCAAAGTCAGGGCCCTGACAGCCCTAAGGAGCTCCATTCAGCCTCTGTCATCAACAGTCAACTACAAGAGACAAGGGACAGTGAAACTAAAGAGATGGTGACTCAATGTTTCCACATGGTGATGAAGAATAAAGAGGTCCAGTGACACTACGACTCCGTCCATCTTCGGGGTCTTAACATGAAGTTTGGGTCTCAGCAGATGACAAGAGGCATGCCTAGTTAAGCAGATCTAGTCAAGGTATGGTCCTGACTATCACTGACCTGCCGGTTGTCTCAGCCCCAATCTTGACTGCAACTTATTGACTGTGAAATCTCTTTAGGGGAGACTAGTTGGCACCAAGCTTCAGATTTTTCCTTCACACAGCCTGAGAATCCTGGGAGAATTCCAGTTCCTTGGGGAGCATTGTTTCCATAGTCTGATAGCTGAAGGGAGGGGCGCAGGGTCTCTTTAGACTGTCTCTGGTCCTATCAGGGGAGTTAAAGTCAACGTGATGCTGATCCCACAAGGTTAGGCCAGAGGGCCCATGAGATAGCTCAGCAGGTAAAGGTGCCTGCAAAGCAAGCCCAAAAGTCCAAGTTCTATCTTCAGAACCCACGCAAAGGAGGAGAGGGAGCAACTGAGTTCACATAGTAGTACTTCACACACTCGGCATGTTACATGTGCTCAACCATCCCCCCCACCCAGCTCTCAAATAAATAAACAAACAAACAAATCAAGAAATACAAAAGGTTTAGAATGGAGCTGAGAAATTCTGATTGCCTAGGGGTATGGGGTTTGGGTAGAAAGTGATTCCCCAAAACTTATGTGCTGAAGGGTTGGTACTCAGGGTAGTACTTTCAGAGATGGGCTCTGGGGAGGTAGCTGGATTGCAAGGGCTCTAATTTCATCAATGGATCAATCTATTAATGGATTCATAGCTAGACAGGAGAATAGTGGCAGACATTTTAAGAAGGAAGGGGCCTGACTGGAGGCAGTATGTCATCGTGGGCATGAAGGTTAGATTGTCAACCTGGTGGAATTTAAAATTACCATGGAGGTGACCTCTGGGTCAAGCTGCTGCCAAAAGCATGTCTGGGTCTGTGCAACTGCTGCAGCTGGGGTCTGTGATGATGCCCATGGCCTGTATTACCATAGGGGCCATAGGAACCATGCATGTTGAAATCCTAGGGCCTTACTGAACTGGCCCCACCCCTCACTGGCCCTGGGATAGCTGGCCCTGCCCCTTGCTGGACACTGTAATAGGAGAGTTGGCTTGCTACCCCACACTCCCTTACCCCGGCACTCAGGTATAGGCCAGCTGTCCCTGATGACATGTGCCTAGGAGAGCTGGCTCTGCCCCTTGCCTGAGGGGGTGGTCCCACAGGCCTGGACGGACCAGCTCAGCTACCACCCAGACCCACATCCTGGGTTTTGGGGTGCCCCACTCTAATATCTACCCCCTCTATGACTTGCTGGAGTACGTGAAGGGACTGGTCCTGTGGAACAGTACCTGCAGGATCTCCTTGACCTGGAGCAGCAGCAAGAAAACCAAGAGGAGTTTCAGTGAGGGCCCAGTGTTGATGGTGATCAGAAGCCTTGAACCAGACCAATGTCTCATTGCAATGAACATTTTGCAGGTGGGGCTGATTGGACAAAACAGTACACTGTGTGGCACACCACAGCTCCCGATGCCACTAGGGTGAATGAAAAGATGTTGGAAAGATGAGGAGCGAGGTGGGCTGTTTGTTTATTTGTTTGGTTTGTTTTTAATTAATTTGAGGGTGTATGCTACAGGGGTGGGGGCAGATATGAAGGAACTGGAGGGTGAGTGGGATTGGAATGTATAATGTGAAATTCCCAAAGAATCAATAAAGAATTATGTTTTAAAAGTTGCCATGGAAACAAACCTCTGGGCATGTTTGGACCAAGTTCGTTGAGGTGAGAGGATGTGTCTCAAGTCTAGGTGGCACCATCCATGGCGTGGGGTCCTGGGCTGAGTAAAAAGGCGCAGCAAGGTGAACAGCAGCTCCATTGCTCTCTGCTTCCTGCGCGCAGACACAAAATAACCAGCTGCCTAAAGTCCCTACAACCATAACTTCTCCACCACAGTGGGTTGCCAAGCTTTGAAAGAACATTCTTTGTCTTTGGCTCCAGTCCCCACCTCCAGGTTACCATCAGTGAACCGTTTTCCTCTCTCACAGTTTCTGCCTTAAAGCAACCTGACCAAATGACTACGTATTAAATCTCTAAAACTGAGAGTTAAGAAGGTCTCACTATGTAGCTGGCTGTCCTGAGCTCACTATGTAGATCAGGCTGGCCTTGAACTCACAGAGATCCATCGGCCTCTGCCTCCCAAGTGCTAGGATACAGGTATGTGCCACTGTGCCCAGCTTCATGAATTTTTAACTTCCTCTAAGTTGTTTATCTCAGACATCTTGTCGTAGCAATAGAAAGCTAACACACCTTGTGACGTTGTAGTCAGATCATTTTGCAGCATACTTCTCATGCTTAAAGATGACACTGGCTAAACCACACTTACTCTTCCGCCAGCAGCACGAACAATTATAGATGGCACCCGCTGCTTGATGGTAGGAAGCACCCATGCGATGGACTAAACTTCACTGTGAATTCTGTGATGTTTGCACAGTGACAAAATCACCCGATGGTGCATCTATCAGAATGTATCTCTACCATTAACAATGTATGAGAGTGATATATAAACCAAAGCATCAATGCTGTTTGGCTCTGAAGAAGATATGGTAATGGGAAATAAAGAGGGAGCAAAACTCTTGCTTCTATTGAGAGTTGACTTCATTTGGTTACAAAAGCAATTGTCTTCATTCAGAAAATCTACACAAACACCCAAATTTTAAAATCATTTTGTCTTTTCTGTGAGAGGCATAAGTGACTTCAGAGCTCAGGTTAGAATCTTAGAATCTCCTACTGCTTGGGTTTTTTTTTTCTTTTGTGAATGGATTTAGCAAATTACCTACAATTAGTTTTCTCTTCTTCTGGACCATATTCCACTGGGACTTGTTCCTTCAGTAATAATTTATAATCTATTTTAGCTGATACTCTTAAATTCTTATTAATATATGTGACTCAGAAGTAACCTGTTTTAGAATATATCTAGGATGAAAGCCGAGAAATGCAGACCGTCAAAACTCAAGACTGTTGACCCGGTGGCATATCCTGTTGGGAAGACTCCCATGTGGCAATAGAAGAAGCTGGGTCTTGACTAACCTAGTGACTCTGTGGATCTCAGGTTGCTCATTAGCAAGCAGTAAGTTTTATTACTGTGGGTTCTCAAACATTATTGCATATGAAAATGGCCAACAGGGTGTGTTAGAACAGAGGTTACCAAGTCACACCCTTCATGGATAGTTGACTCTCTAGGACCCAGTAATTTGCCTCTCTAAGCTCCCAAACACTGCGGAGATGGCCAGAATAGTAACCACACTTGAAGAACCATTATTTAACGAAAAAGGAATTCTTTCCATTTCTATCTGTTGAACCCACCCCAGGTGTGTTGTACGATCCTCATTTCCAGGCTGAGCTTTGAACTCTCTGGTATCAGTTGGTGGTGACTAGCTTCCAGTTTCTTCTTCTTGTACAGAGCGGTTGCTTCCTGCATCTCTGATCCTGAAACCCAGTATTCTCAGGCTGGCTCCACAGCTGTTTCTCGAGCCTTCTCTGTCTTAGTGGGCTCACCTTGACGTTTCTCTAGGCCTTCTTTCTGCACCCATGCATCTACTTCCTTTTGCACCAACAGTTCTGTTGTCCCCTAACTTCCTCATGAAATTAATCGTCTATAAAACTCTAGTATAGTTAAGTTTCGCTGCTATAATGGGTAAAATAAATGAGAATTTTCCTTAGAGGTTAAAGGGACATAGGAATGCTTATTCGATGGAGTCTTAAGGCAGGGTTATGTAAATTGATAGTGGCTGAATTGTAGCAACTAAAAGCACAATAAGCCATTGGTGATATAATTAGTAATTGGCTTCACATACACAAAGACATATTGTTTATTGACACAGTCGATCAATGTATTTATTTTTCTTGCTCTTTGGATCTCACATAGCAAGACTGTTACAGGTCACTCCTTTACCCAATGATTGACAACACCCCAAATTTTGTGAACTATAGTGATGCCATGTATTCTTTACAGTTCTGTTGGTTCAAGTTTGGTATAGCAGGGCTGGGTCTCTTGCCTGAAGTTTCAGAAGACTGAGATCAGGTATCAACTGGCTGCATGTTCCTCTCAGGGCCCAAGGGAGGAAGAATCTGTTTCCAGCCTCATCTCTGTTATTCACAGAATTTGGTTCCTTGTGTCTATAGGAAGTTTCACCTCTTTGCCACAGCTGGACACCAATTTCTACCTTCAAGGCCATTCCTTCTACCCGTGTAGTAGTATCAGAATCCTTTGACCTAGTAAGAGAACGTCCTTCAAGGTCAGTTCCTCTCCTGCTTCTGCTGATTTCTGTTGTCCCCTGTCAAGGAGTAGCATCAACAAAATCCCTATGTTCCAGGTTAGAGCATGAGGATTAGAATTATTAAGCAAAAGGAACTGAGATACGAGAGAAATAAGAGACAGAAACATAGAACAGCATTGGGAGGGACATTCAGTGAATACTGAGCTGCCCACATCCAAAAGGGCGGGGGAGGGACGAGCAACAGACTTCATTAACATGATATAAGGAATAGACTTGAATTCTCCCACCTTAGGTCCAGAGGGAGCAGATCTACCTCTATACCCAAAATACTAATTAACCACACCCTAGGTCAGGATCTCTTGTTTGTAGCCACATCTGTTGTCAACAACTTTGAAAGAGCAAAAATAAGCTCAAACTCTTTGCCCTCCAGTCAAGATGGAACAGGCTCACATCTGTAGGCCCTCACAGTCCCCAGCCAGATAAACCTCTACTTTCAAAGGCTCATCTAATTAGCTAGACAAGGTAAACTAGCAGGCTAATCTTCATCTGACTTAGAACAATAGATGACACCCTCACAGATTCCACTTGCACTTGAAAGGGGGATAACTCTAAGGTTGAGAATTATTGAGATACAAGTTCAACTGCTATTGTTTACCCCTAGGCCCTAGGGATCCCCAACTGTCTACATGGAAAATATTCATTTACTCCAAAAGATTCACGGAAGTCTCTTCCTGTCATGGCATCATTTCAAAGTCCAAACATTTATCTAAAGATCACCAGCTCAAAGATGCAAAACACCACCTGTATCAGGTCCAGATGAGGTCCCAGGGAGGAACAAATTCTAAGCGGATTTCCTCTTTATTCAAAGACCTATAAACCTGAAAAGATAAGCTACCTTCCCCATACTTTTGACATGTGAAGGAAGTATAGGATAAGTGGCAGGCATTTCAGTTAAAAAAACAAAACAAAGTTACATAGGGCTAGAGAGATGGCTTAGTGCATAAGAGCCCTACCTGTTCTTCCAGAAGACCCAGATTTGATTCCCAGTGCCCACAAGGTGGTCCAAATTTGTCTCAATTCCAAGGGATCCAAAGCCTTCTTCTGACCTTTTAGAGTACCGGACACATAAGTGATAAACAAACATGCAGGCAGAATACACATAAAATAAGTGAATTAAAACACACGCACACATACGCACATCCACACATGGCAGGAGGATGGGGTGGTGCACCACTTCAATCCCAACACTCGGGAGGCAGAAACAGGCGAATCTCTGTGAGTTTGAGGTCAGCCTGGTCTACAGAGTGAGTACCAGGACATCCAGGACTGTTTTACAGAGAAAACCTATCCCAAAAAACCAAAAACCCAACCAACCAACCAAACAAATGAAAAAAACACATACACACACACACAAAACAAGACAACAGATAAACTTTAGATATGCATCCACCTAGGCCATTAGGTTTTGAAGACCAAGACTGTAATAATTCTCCTTGACTCTCCTTTATTAGACTCTTGGCTTTTCCCTTAGAGGTTTGTGATCCGCCCTTGGGAAAGGTCACGGAGGAGGATGTTCATTGTGTAGCCCACATTTGCCATATCTTGAGGATCCCTAGCACATACACAGGAATGCATGCTACAGTAGCAAAGCACATAGAAATCAGCATTTATAAAGTCAATGAAACAGCACCTCATTTTTTAAGTGTGATAATCCTAATCACCATATGCCACACTAACTACCATATGCCACATTATGAATAAGTCCCTTGGTCATTTCCCCAGTAGTGATTTCACACCCATAAGTGATGACTCCCTGGGATTTGGAACATTTAACGGTAATGATGAGCTAATAGATCATTATATCAATAAAGAAGTAGGAGGAAAATCAGAGAATCAAGAAAGATATCTAAAATAAATGTTATAAACAAAGCCCACTGGCATTTGTTTAAGTCAAGCTTCTCTTGAATACTCAACCTCATTAACAAGAAAAAGTCTACAGAAATCTCAATTGCATTAGCCAGCCAGTCTCTAGCAAGAGGAGTAACAGATTCCTCAAGACCTAACCAAGGTACAATGCCCAGCGTGAATGGTCATCTGGGAGATTTTAAATCATTCAGCCTTTGACAGCACATCCATGCAAGGCTGTCCTGAGTGGGACCTGTGGGAAGGATCACAAGAAGACTGACATGGGGAGAATGTCATTAACTACAGCAGAGAGGCAAGGGAAGGGCCAGCCAGGACCGAAGCCTGGGACCAGTTTATGCATCTGCTTGTGGTTCAGGGACAGCCTTTCAGATTTCTGAGTGGAGGCAGCAGAGGGTTAATACTGTTGGAACAGCAAGCCAGAGGTAACCTTGGCAACAGAGTAGTAAATGGACCAGACTAGGATAATAGCAAAAAGAGGACAAGGGGAGAAATTACAGGATAATGTGGACATTTTGTTCTTCACACATTAAAACAATGGTTCTGGCCTGATGTCAGCACAGAGTGTTCTCTGGGGCATTTGTGAACGGCAGTCATGGGCTTGTGTTGATGTGGTCTCCAATTCTTGTTCAGACTTGCTCGTGGCCAAGGACAAAGATTAGAGTGAGCTATTGTTACAGTTACTACTCTGAATAGGGTTGCATACAAATCTGGTGTGTGGCAGAAGACACACACACACTTAGCTAGCATATACAGAATACGAATGCTGACAGTCTGGCCTTATATAATTAGATAGCTAGAACATACTGACTGGCTACTGTGTGTATAACTCTGTTTTTTATGAATGTTACTTTACTTAGGTCTTAAGGTAATCTTTTGGTAACTGGAACTTTTGGCTTCATGTTAAAGCTGAGGAAGTAGGATGTCTGAGAGAAGCTGTCTTCCTGAGAACAATTAGCAGGTAAGCTGTGATTGTCTCTGTAGATCTGAGCGCTTTCTCGTGACCCATCTATTAAAGTGAGTTTTCTGCCTGGGGATGTAGCTCGGTTGGTAGAGTATTGCTTTCCCAGCATGTGTGAAGTTTTGGGTTTGATACCCAGGAACCTCATTGGTCAGCTATGGTGGCGCACATCCATAATTCCAGCACTCAGAAGGTAGAAGCAAGGTCACAAGAAGTTCAAGATTACCCTCTGCTTCAGAATAAGTTGAAGGTCATAAGACCCTGTTTCAATGAAATAAATTAATATAATAAAATAGTTTGTCTATTGATGTCTGTTCCCACGATGGCCTTAGGGGTCATGTGGGTCTCTCTTAGAGGGACATTGATTGAACCTTTTGTGGGCAATAGACCTGTGTTGAACTGAGTTTTCTGTATGTATAGTCTGTGCTGTTTATCATCTGACCTGATATGCTATGTAAATTCAATAGCCAAAACAATACAAAAATGTATCTGGAACAAAATTAGGCCTAGATAGTACATCTTATTAGAAAAAAAAGTGAGGGGGCTTTTAGAAATGTCTTTTTCTTCAGAAGATTTCATTCTCAATATTCTGTGATCATGCAGATTCTTCTTACTGAAGAGAAGCTGGACTTCATGAAGAGCACTTAGAAGCTATTGAAAAAATTCTTTCTCTAATTTTCTCTGTCCTGTCTGAAGAACACACAGGATAATGATAGAAATTCAGTAAAAGTTGTATGCATCTCCCATGTCCCTGGGACTGTTGCTTGGCACTGAATACAACAAGGAAACACAGATGCTCACAGAGCTCAGAAAGTTAAACAAGCTGCAGTGGTTTGACAATAGATATTCCCTATGTTCCCAGGCATTTGAAAGCTTGGCCCCCAGTGGGTGCTGCTGTTCAGGGAGGCTTAGAAAGTGTGGTCTTGTTGGAGGGAGTATGTCACTGGGGGTGGGCTTTGAAGCTTCAGAACCCTACACCACTCCCAGTTTTTTCTCTACTTCCTGCTTACCATTTAAGAGCTCTCTGCCTGGTGGTGGTGGTGGTGGTGGTGGTTCATGCCCTTAATTCCAGCACTTGGGAGGTCACAGGAGGCTCTCTGTGAGTTCAAGGCTAACTTGGTCTACCAGCAAGTTTCAGGATAGCCAGAGTTACACAGAGAACCTGTCTTAGGGTAAAAAAAAAAAAAAAAGATGTGAGCTCTCAGCTTGTAGCTCCAGTCTCTATGCCTGCTTGCTGCCATGCTTCCCTTTAATCCTTGATTAAGATAGATTTATCCCTCTGATACAATAAGCCCACGTAAATCTTTCCTTCTATAAATTGCCCTGGTCTTGGTGTTTATCACTACAAGGGAGCCCCCAACTAAGACAATAGTTATGGCAATAGTGAGGAGCACAGGGCTGTGATAATAGGCCAGGGGCTCCACCTGATCTTTAGGGTGGGGACAAACAGTAGAACCCTGAGGTGACATGGTTAGCTAGGGTTGAGCCATGTGGGAAAGCCTGACACTGGAGCAGAATACATCACTACTATACAAATGAGGAGACGTGGGAAGGAGAGGAAAAAAAACCAAAAGTGTGGAATAGGTTTAATCTGAAGCATCACACACACAAATTCAGAAAGAAAAAGAGACATTTTTCTCAGTGTGTTTATTATTGTAAAATAATCAGAAAAAGAATCAGTTCTCAACCATGATGATGATACGAGTGTGAGGGCTGGAGTTCAGAATCCCAGCATCCACATGAAAGGCTATGCACATGGCAGCCACCCTGCAATCCCAGCATTGAGGAGGAGATAGGAAGTCTCTGGTACAAGTTCACTAGCTAGACTAGCCAAATGGTGAGCTCTGGATTCAGTAGGATACTCTGACTCAGTGAAGTAAAGTAGGGCATAATCTTGGAAGACACTTACTTGACCTCAACTTCAGCCTGCCATGTGAGTACTTACACCACACACACACACACACACACACACACACACACACACACACACACACACACACTCATACACACACACACAGAATGGCGGTGATCATTGTAATAGTCTGTCCTGTTCCTTTAAGAGACAAGCCCTGCCCACTCCCTCCCCCTTCCACCAAGGCAAGTGGATCTTCCTTCTGCTTCCAGCCTGAGTTCCTTCCTTTCCATCTCTCTCCCGAAGAGGCAGCTTCTGCCTCATTCTCTTCTCCCCACTTCTCCCCTTCCCCCTCCTCTCCCTCTCCCTCCCTCTCTCTCTCTC